TTCTCAAGGATCAAAATAGATGGTAATTTTCTTCGTCTATAGATTGGTAAAACAGGTTTTAGTTCTTTAAATGACTGATTGTACTGGGATGTTCAAAGTACTTTTATGTTTTTACTTTTTTTTAAGAGGTTTTTTTTGGCTTCACTGGGTCTTCATTGCTGTGCACGGGCTTTCTCTAGTTGTGGAGAGCAGGGGCTGCTCTTCGTTGCAGTGTGCAGGCTTCTCATTGCGGTGACTTCTCACGTTGTAGCGCAAAGGCTCTTGGCATGCGGGCTTCAGTAGTTGTAGCAGATAGGCTCAGGAGTTGTGCCTCACCTGCTTGGTTGCACCAAGGCATGTGGAATTTTCCCAGACCAGGGATCGAACCCATGTCCCCTGCATTGGTAGGCAGATTCCTATCCACTGTACCACCAGAGAGGTCCCCCAAAATGCTTCATTTTTAATAGCATATGAATCTGTGCACATCTAGGACACCCCTTTTGTGGTAGGTTGATTACTGGGTAAAATTGGCATGCAGAGTATCTAACCCAATGATGATTACCTAGGCTGATGACAGAGAGGCACTGGGACATGAGCCGGACCCATGCAGAAGGACCTCGGGCTCCAGCCACCCATAAAGAATCCCACTCAACAAAGCCGGTGCTTTGACTAGGTACTGTGGAGTATCATGCACTGTGCTGTACCACAGAAGTGATCCTTGTATGGAAGTGTTATTATGTGTGTGTGCTCACTCAGTCAGTGGTGTCCGACTGTTTGCGGCCCCAGGGACTGAGGCCCCCCACACTCTTCTCTCCGTGGGGTTTTCCAGGCAAGAGTACTGGAGTGGGCTGCCCTTTCCTTCTCTAGGGGATCTTCCTGACCCAGAGATTGAACCAGCATCTCTTGCATCTCCTGCCTTGGCAGGCCCACTGGGACACCTGGGAAGCCCATGGAGAGGATATTAGTCTTTTATAATGTGTACAGCAGTTCCTTTCCCCAGGTTGCCTTTTTTCTTGTAATTTTGCCTATGGCATTTTTACTATATGGACATTTAATACTTCTGTGTAGTCAAATTACTAAATCCTTTATCTCTCAGCTGCAGGATTTTGTCATTCCCTTTTTACTTTAGAATTGCCAAAATATTCATCTCTGTTTTTCTTCCTAGAACATTTATAGTTTTATTCTATACATTTTTGTTCCATCTTGAATTTTTGTGTAAAAGGTGAGGTAGAAATCCAGCTTTATGTTTTTCCACTGCTGCATGTGGAGAAGTGAACCCATATTTCTAAGGGCCCTAAGACACGACTGGGATAAGAGTTAGACACAGGAAGGTTGGTGAGCAGTCTGATCTGCTTGTTAGAGTGCTAAATTGTATGTGTTCAAATGCCAGATGTTTCTCTGACTGTAAAACCAACAGTAGGAGATTAAGGCTGGTGAAGATTACTGAGAAAGTGGAGGAATTGAGACTTGAACTTGGCCTTGAATGATCCCTAGAGCTGGTCCTTTCTTCTTTTTTAAAAATGATTTTATTTATTTATTTTTTTTGGTTGCATTGGATCCTTGTCTGCATCAGCTTTCTCTAGTTGTGGAGAGTGGGGGCTACTCTCTTGAGGCAGTGTGTGGGCTTCTTATTGTGGAGTCTTCCTTTGTTGTAGAGCATAGACTCTGTGCACGGGTTTTAGTAGTTTTGGCATGCAGGCTCAGTAGTTGTGGCGCATGGGCCTAATTGCTCCGTGGCACGTGGAACCTTCCTGAACCAGGGATCAAACCCATGTCCCCACATTGGCAAGTGGATTCCTATCATCTGTACCACTAGGAAAGTCAATGTCTTCTTTTTCACTCTTATGGAATACTTGTCCATTTGGAGCTTGTTATCTTTGCTTTTACATCCAAGTGCAGTGGTGGCATCGAGGGGTTGTGATCTGCTCAGGATTCATTTTGGGTTAGGACTCAGACTGTTGTGATTTGTGTTGTATTTGTTGCTTAGTCGCTAGGTTGTGTTCGATTCTGCAACCCCATTTCTGCTAGAAAATGGATTGTGGCCCCTCAGGCTCCTCTGTGCCTAGGATTTCTCAGGCAAGAACACCGGAGTGAGATACCATTTCCTTCCCCAGGGCATCTTCCCAATGCAGGGATCGAACCCGCGTCTCCTGCATTGGCAATCGGATTCTTTGCCACTGAGCCACCAGTAAAGCCCTTGTGTTATGTATCACAGTACTAATTTAAGAAGTTAGAAAAAGGACAAGAAATTAAACAGAAAGAAAGCAGAAAGAAGGAATTAATGCAGATAAAACTGAACTTAAGGAGGTAGAAAGGAGAAAAGTTAGCTAATAAATAAAATCTAGAAGCTAATTGATGAAGAAAAACAGAGAAGGCTCTAATATACAGCATGAAATATAGAGAGTTGCCCAATGGATATATTAAAACACATGTGAAATTACATATGCAAAAGGTTATTCATTGTGATATTGCTCTTAATAGTAAAGGATTGGAAATAACCAGAGGGGTCTGGTTAAATAAATAATGGAACATCCTTATAGTGGAAAACTGCTGCTGTGTAAAAACCTGTGCAATTGTAGAAAATACGTACACATAAAGAAGTCCTTTATGTATATGTTTTTATAGAAAAATCTCCAAGACATATTGTTCAGTTAAAAAAAAAGCAAGCAAGGTATTTAGTAGTATGTATCCTATGCTACCTGGGCTTCCCTGGTAGCTCAACTGGTAAAGAATCCGCTTGTAATGCTGGAGACTCCGGTTTGATTCCTGGGTCGGGAAGATCCCCTGGAGAAGGGATCGGCTGCCCACTCCAGTATTCTTGGGTTTCCCTGGTGGCTCAGACAGTAAAGAATCCACCCTCAGTGTGGGAGACCTGGGTTCGATCCCTGAGTTGGGAAGATCCTCTGGAGGAGGGCATGGTAACCCACTCCAGTATTCTTGCCTGGAGAATCCCCAAGGACAGAGGAGCCTGGCGGGCTACAACCTATGGGGTCGCAAAGAGTCGGACGCAGCAGAGCGACAGCATAGCACAGCATACTACGCTACCCACTTGAGTAGATAAGGAAGAAATAAAGAAAATACAATGACCTGAATATTCATTAAAACCATCTCTGGAAAGGCAAACAAAAAACTAAGAGAAATGGTTACTTGGGAGGGATGTGAACTGAACAGATGGAGAGGAGGTGCTTTTCACTGTCATTTTATACTTTTTGATTGAGCATTTTACCTATTTAAACAATTAAGTGGAATGCATAATTTCAAAGGCTCTTATTTAACTGATTAAATGTTTTTGAGGAGTCATTTGGGGTAAGGAAGAATTCAGTTGGTTCTATTTAATTCAACAATACTTAACTATTATGTACAAGCAGCGAGGCTTAGGAATAAAGAGATATTTATTGCCTTCTAGTTGCTGACAGGCAGATATGAGCTTAATACAACTATATATGACAAAATTACAGAAGCAGTACAATGCATGAATAGGGCAGAGAGTGTGCAAAGGCAGTATGTCTTGAACTGGGTGTGGAGGGACCTGTAGGATTGACAGCTGGTGATGGGGTAATGGTGGGCAAATAGGGATAAGGAGGACATTCTTTGGATGGAGAGTGGTACACGTGCAAAGTCCAGTAGGATGGAGAGTGTGTGGCTTAGTTTGAGCACGGGACAGCATAGCCGTTTTTGCATAGCTGGAATATAGGTAGCGTTTGTGTGAGCAGGGACTGCCTTGCCCTGGGATATAGGCCTGTAGTCAGTCTTTTTTTTTTAATGAAAGATTGGAAGCATATACAAAAGTAGACAGGATACTGCATGTGAGCTTCAACAGTCACACTCATGGCGAATCTTGTTGCATCTATATCCTTGCACCCTACTCACCAGCTCCTCCATGTTTGGAGACAGATCCCACATAATGTCATTTCTTCTGTAAATATTTCAGTGTGTAGCTGTAAAAAATATGGACTTTCTTTTTTTTTTTTTAACCAATTAGAGTACAGATTTCCAGAAGGTTCATAAATATTATAAATAGTTTATTTTTGGTAGTTTTTGCTCATTTGCTTAAGTCAGAATTCTAATAAGGTCTACAGATTGCAGTTAATTGATATATTTTTTTAAGTCTCTTAAATAGGTCCCCCCAGTCTTTTTCTTCTGCCTTGCGATTTACTTGTTGAAGGAATCAAGTTGTTTGTCTTTTTTTTTTTTTTCAAAGTTGTTTGTCTTATAGCATTTCCCACTGTTAAGAGTTTGCAGATTACATCCCCTGGTCTAGTTTAATGTGTTCATCTGTTTGCATTTCCTGTAAATTGCTAATTGGATCCAGGGGTTTGACCAGATTCAGATTCGTTTTTGTCTTAGTTTTCTTTTCTTGACCATGCCACTGTAAGTTTTGTGGGGTCTTAGTTCCCAGACCAGAGATGGAGCCCAGGCCCCCTGCAGAGGAAGCGCACGGTCTTAACCACTGGATGACCGGGGAAGTCTGCTTTGATTTGGCTTGGTTTTCTATTTTTTGCTTTTTCACTCTATAGGAAGCACTGTGGCTTCCCATTAGGGACACACCAGGCCCCCTGCAGAGGAAGCACACAGTCTTAACCACTGGATGACCGGGGAAGTCTTTGCTTTGATTTGGCTTGGTTTTCTGGTTTTTGCTTTTTCACTCTACAGGAAGCACTGCGGCTTCCCATTAGGGACACATCATGTCTGGTCACCTCCTGTTTTCTGATTGTAGCGGCCCCTTGTGGATCAGTCTTCCCATGTCAATCATTCTGTAGAGTTAAAAGGATAAATCTATGAGTACCCTCTGGTTACTATGACATCTGTATTCTTTCACTTCTCAGGTCTTGTAAATATCCTTTGAAGTAAAGAATTTTTAAATGTAGTACATTAGTACATGTAAGAGTAATTGGTTTCAAGTGACCTTTCAAAGCTGTTATCAAATAATTATAAAAGGGTTTCTTGAATTAAAAACAAGTTCATCTTTTATTCTAATGGACTTTCACAAACTTGATTATTTGTGCTTCATACTTTACCAGGTTGTTCTTCCGATGTGTTAAAAGTAAAGCAGAGGGGAAGCAGTGGTGTGGAAATATCCCATGGCAGGTAGGAATTTCAGATCTGACTGTGTAAAGATGTTTAACCTGTGGGATCACCTGAAAAGACCCTAAAGTCCATTATAAACTGATTGGTCTTCATCATGCTTTCTCTGAAAGACAGTTCTTTTCTTTCAGCAAGGTAGACCCTGTTGGGACTCTTAATTCAAAGGACTGTTTGGATCTTTTTTTTTTTTTTTAATTTTAATTTTATATTGGAGTATGGCCAGTTAGCAAACAATGCTGTGATAGTTTCAGGTGAACAGCGAAGGGACTCAGTCACACATAAACATCTGTCCATTCTATAGTTAATAATAGTAGTGTTAGTGGCTCAGTTGTGTCCAACTCTTTTCAACCCCATGGACGATAACCTGCCAGGCTCCTCAGTCTGTGGAATTTTCCAAGCAAGAATACTGGAGTGGGTAGCCATTCCCTTCTCCAGGGGATCTTCCTCACCGAGGGATTGAACCCAGGTCTTCTGCATTGCAGGCAGATTCTTTACCATCTGAACCACCAGAGAAGCCCATTCTATGGTTAGCATTCTCCTATTTAGGGAAAAAATTTAAATTTACTTGACTAACCTCAGGATTTTTTTTTTTAATATTTATTTATTTGGCTACTCTTATTTTAGTTGTAGCATGCAGGATCTTTAGTTGTTACATGTGGGATCTAGTTTATTGACCAGGGATCTAACCCAGACCCCCTGCATTGGGAACATGAGTCTTAGCCACTGGACCACCAGGGAAGTCCCAGCATGTTTTTATAGACTGATATATACTTGATGTTTGTATAAACTGAGTGTAATTCATAAGCTTCTGGAATGTGAGAACTAGGAGAGACCCTGCAGATGTCTACTACATGAAGAACTAGACTGAGGGAGGTCTTGAGATTTGTAGATGGATAGCTTGGACGTAAGGTTCTAGATTTGCACTGTGAAACCATCCTAAAGCCAAAATCAGAACTGTTTAGGTTTGGGGAAAAGTTCATCTTGAGAGAGTTGTTTTCATGAAAAATATACATTGTGGCTATTGCTATTATTAAAACAGTTTGACCTGGACACTGCTTTTCCTTGAGACCTATAAAAGCAGTGATCAGGGACAGAGAAGGAACCAAGCGTTGAAAGTACTTTTAAGAAACAAATACTTTGTGAGTTTGGCAGTCCTTTCTAGAGCAAGGAATGATCCCAGGAACATTTAGAAAAACTGGACTACTTTTACTGTGTTTCCATTTCCTCTGAAGAAAGGCATTCTAGGTGTGAAGGTTGCATTCATATTTTATATTAAGATTAGATTATTTCCTTTGTCTTTTAGGATCCTAATTCTAAAGAACATTTTGGAACCAGTAAGTCTCAACATGCCTCTGAGCCATCTCACTATCCTTCCAGCCAGCAGAGAAACCCGTTCAAGGTACTTGATAAGAATCAAGAACCATCCGTCTGGAAACAGTTCATCAAAGGTGAAGATGAGGAAAAGACAGCTGATAAGAAGCAAAGAGAAAAGGGAGACCCACTCCTGGATCAGAAAAAGGAACAAAAGCTGGAATCTAAGTGCTGGACAGAGAAAGAGCTCTCATCTGGCCTGGGAGTAAAGAAAAAAGAATCTGCAGTTCAAGACAAGCAGCAAAGGGAGAAGACAGAGTTTCAGTGCAAAGCAAAGGAGATAGAAAGGATGCACAAAAGAAACCTTTTTGAGATGAAATCCAAACAGGTCCATGGAAATGTGCTCAGAGAACCATCTGCATTTCAGGTGAAATCAGATAGTGAGAGTCATTCTGTCCAAAAAGAGTCAGAACCTCCGACAGAAAAGGAAACTAAGCCTTTGCCCCGAATTGTTCACAGTCAACACTCAGTAAGCCAGCCCCTGAAAGGGAAGCACCTCAGTAAGGAGCACCCTAAGAGCGGGGAGGCTGGAGAAACAAAGACAGGGAACGACCCAAGTACACAGACCCTCCGGAAGAGTCTGCCCCAGGGCCGTTTCCAGGCTCAGTCGGAGACCCGGGACATGCCTGCTCCAGAGGAACCCGCTGCTCAGCCTGCACCACTGGCTACAGTGCGTCCCGCAGGAGGGAGGCGAGATGCTGACACAAGCAGTGCTGACAGTGAGGAAGAGGACGTTGTTTTTGTTTCGTCTAAGCCAGGGAGCCCCTTACTCTTTGACTTGCCTCCAGACACACAGGAGAAGAAGAACCTTAAACTCCCTGGTCAGAGTGTGCAAAGAAATGTTTCTTCTGCCCTGAGTGTCTCCAAGAAGGGAGAACCTTCAGACCCAACAGCCCAACGTGTGTTCCTCACAACACAACTGAAACAAAAGAAGGTAGCTACTACCTGTATTTGTTTATAAGGTCAGAGCATTGCTTGCTGTGGGCAGGCAAGGTACGCCACAAACAAGTGAAATATATTAATGTAAGGAAGGTCTCACAGGTGGATGTTTAGTTTCTTCGTTTTTCTGTGTTTATATGTTCAGGATTGGTAAATCAGCTGGGTTTAGAAAGAAGAAAGGTTCTGGTTTTCACACATGTAGCTAAAAGACTAAAGTCACAGTTTTAGCTTTCTAGGCTGTTTTAATCTGAAACTGCCTTTTGACACTTCGAGAGGATCGAGGGACCCATTTTATAGGATCTGTTTTCCAGAGCACGCTGGCATCGGTGAACATCCAGGCTCTTCCAGACAAGGGTCAGAAGTTGTTCAAGCAAATCCAGGAGCTGGAGGAAGCGCTCAGTGCCCTGGCCCTCTCCCCAGAGCAAGGTAGAAGGGGTTCTGCCCCTGAACCTGGGGTTTGCATGAACTTCCCAAGACATTCGAGAGCCATTTCGGTAAAGAACAGATTGGGGGACTTCCTTGGCTGTCCAGTGGTTAGGACTTCAGCTTCCAATGCAGGGGGTGCAGGTTCAGTCCCTGATCGGGGAGCTGAGATCCCAGATGCCATGTGGCCCTGCCCCCCCAAAAAAACCCAAAACATAAGAAGAGGAGCAATGTAACAAATTCAATAAAGTCTTAAAACAGATTTTTTTTAAAATCTGGGAACAGTTCCTGACATTGAAAGAATAGGTTGATGCATTCACCTGCCCATCTTGTTGTCTGTTTCTGAGTTTCCTTTTAAGTTGCATATGTGATTGATAAAAATTTCCTCCTATTTCCTGTGGACTCGAGTCTTTTCCCATTGTTTAAGAAGCGGTTTAAATGCTGCACTCTCTAGGAAGCCCTCCCCTGCTCATGGCGATCCCACTCTCTCTTGACCTCACCTCGCTCATAGAATTCCTTCACTTTTCTGAAGTGTAATCTGTTCTTCCCTGTGTTTTGAGCAGACGCTGAGGAGAAGAGTAACACTCAGGAACCCCAGCAGAGTCACTTCACCAAAGAGACCACTGACCCTCCCCACTTGCTGCCTCCCAAGCCCCTGCAGGGTCAGGATCCCTGGCCTCTGGGTTCTCAAGGACTGAAGGCTGCCCACCAGGAAGCTGCTGGAGGGCCTGGTCAGAGCTGTGGAGGTGAGATCCGAGGGCCTGGCCCTTGAGGGGGGGTAGCTACACCTACAAGTTAAGTGCTGCCTCATAGATGCCTTTGTGCCCATGAGAAGGGAGAAGACATTCTGTGTTGCCTGTGTAATAAAGTGGGTGGTGCTCAGCTGAATTTTTACACAGTGTAATCTAGATCTTCTCGTGAGCAGAGACTGTGTCTGCTCTGTTCACTGACCTTGTTCATGGCCCTTAATCAACCAGCTTGGTGGTTGGCATATGGGAGTCATCTACTACATGTTTGTGAGTGAAAACTCAAACTCACATCATGAGGAGGAAGGCAAACCAGTGGAGATGTTTGTAGTCCTGTGTGTGTGTCTGTGTGTGTGTGCTGAGGCAGAGCAGGGGGAGTATGTGACCATGACCAATAGACCCACAGAGCGCAGTACCACCCTATTTAAATGAGCGTTTCCATCCTGAACTCTACAGACAACAGTGGATTCTGAAGCAGCTGCAGGAGAAGGATCCCTGGAAGAGCCTCAACTGTGTAATATGATCATAGGGTTTCCTGACCAGGACACAGGAACTTGGGTGGGCTGACAGCGATGAGAAAAGCAAAAGCCAGTTTTCTCCTGAGAACTGCTCAGGATGTGGAAAGGAAAAGGAGAGAAAAAAGAAAACAGGAGGGAGGGGAGAGAAGTTGAAAGGCAGTAGTCAGAAGAGGGTAAGGGATAGACAGGATGCTGTGTGACACAAGGATCCCTCTAAAAGGGCACAGGGAAAATGTACTTACATAGATGAACTAGATAAGCAGCAAGAATCTACTGTATAGCACCGGGGTATCTTAAAATAACCTATCATGGAAAAGAATACATTAAAAAAATACATATAACTAAGTCACTTTGCTGTACACTTAAAACTAACACAGTGTTGTGAATTAACTGCTTCCACAAAACAAAAAACAAAAAAGGAAACATATTTAGTCCAGTGGCACAGCTTAGCTATGTTCCAGACATCATTCAGTCATCACCATGGTGATGGAGTTGCCTAGAGAAATTAAGGTGGATTATTAAGGTAAGAAGTTATGTAATATGTTTAGGAAAGAATCCCATTAAAATAGATTTTCATTTAAAACATTTTAACATTTAAGTGGATAATTAATTTTTATTCATCTAGAAATCTCTTCTTTGGGTACTTCATGCCTAAATTTGCAACCAGCTAAGGTGCTTGTATTTATTACCTAACCTCAGTAGAAGTTCTCTGTGTATTAATAGAATGAGTGGTCTCCAACACTGAAGTATTCCCGGGGCAGTGTAGGCATCTTGGGATGTGCATATTTGGGGCTGTCTCTCTCTACCTGAAGTTTGACAACTTCCTCTAGCTCAGTCTCTTCTATTGCTGGCTTTTCTTCTTGGAATCCATCCAGCCCCAGGGGTCTTTTTTTCCAAAAATTCTGATGGTATTGTTTTTTCTGCCACCTCTGAAAAAAAAAAGCTGGAAAAAAAAAAAAGATAGATAATCTTATATTTTAATTATACTTTATATTACTTTGTCCTTTATTAGAGCACTTGTTAATGTGAACTTTAAAACACGGACATACAGAGAATGGGGCTAAAGCAGCCAGAGCGCCTAGGAGAATCTGGAGGCAAGAATTTTTAGCCCATACAGATCCATCATCTGGCAAATAGTGAATTGCCTTTTTGCAGCTCTGGTCAGGATGTAATACTCACAACCTCAATTTGTCTGCAGGCTCTGTGAGCCAGAATGGCCTTCACGCAGTGTGGAAGATCACAAGTGAAGCCATTGATGAGCTGCATCGATCTCTTGAGTCTTGTCCTGGGGAGACCGCCATGGCAGAGGATCCAGCTGGGCTGAAGGTGATCTGGGAAGGCCCGCAGGGCAGAGTGTCCTGGACAGTGCCCTAGCGCCCACGAGGAGGGGACCGACCATTGGGAAAGGCCCTGCCAGAGTGCCATTCTTCGTTGTTTTTCTTTAAATAGTCCTGTTTGGTTTCTTTTTTAATTTACTATTTTAAGATTTTATTTATGTGTTTAGTCTTGGTTGCTCTGGGTCTTTGCTGCTGCACAGGAGCTCTCCCTAGTTGCATGTGGCGAGGGTGGCTGCTCTTCCCTCAGGTGCATGGGCATCTCCTTGAGGTGGCTTCTTTTGCTGTGGAGCCGGGGCTCCC